AAAGCAGAACTGCTATTTGCAATGACTGCTCAGGGTCAGTGATGCGAGGAGGAGCGAAAAAAAAAAAGGCCTACAACAATTCGAACCTAATTAACCATCTCAAGAAATGTAGTAAATGTCATGAATAAATTTGACATTAAACATAACCCAAGTTGAATTGTTACATTATTGTCAGCCCCCTTTTTGGCATCTGCATTTGGTGGCAGGCCAAATTAACAAAGACCATGCAGAATAATGTAGTATTTTAATTCCACAGCAGAGAAAGCTATGTAGTCCATGTAAGTAGATGTAGTAGGACTTGCGACCCGTCCAGGGTGTACCCCGCCCCTCACACAGTGATTGCTGGACATGGGCACTGGCGACCCCCATGACCCAAAATGGAAGAAGCAGGTAAAAGATAATGGATGGATGGATGGAATTGTAATTCCTCTAGTGACACTATGCTTCATACACTGAAGCACATTTTGCTTGAGGAACCAATACCTTTGAATGAGTATATGGCTGATATTCACTCTTGGAAGATCTCACAAACTTTAATTTTATTGTGTCTCTGCGGTTCAGGCCAACACCATCATAGTCGGCAGAGTTGATGTGGAAAAGGTGACAACGTTAACAAACCCATATGTGGATGCCTTGAAGAGTCTGTGGAGCGACCCAGGGGTTCAGGAATGTTACAGTCGGAGGAGGGAATACCAGCTCTCAGATTCAGCCAAGTAGTGAGTATAAACAGACTAACACTTGTCAGATAGTTTACACTGCTGAACCTGCCACTCGTCTCGTTATTACACACAGTTCTGTTCAGAACTAAATCTGCTGCATCTCCCTGTGCTGCTAGCTATCTGAGTGACTTGGCTCGAATCGCTGATTCTTCTTATCTGCCAACCCAGCAAGACATCCTGAGGGTCAGAGTGCCCACAACAGGTATAACAGAGTATCCATTTGACCTGGAGGGTGTGGTGTTCAGGTGAGTTTTACTGCTGTTGGGATGTAGTAAATTTCTCAATTTTTAATGTTTTTTTTTTAAATATATATTTTTATTTTAAAATATACAGAAGGAGATTTAGGGTGATGGAGGGTCTAAATACACAGATGAATACAAAAATATTCACACAGTTTCGGTGGAAATGTGATCAAATGGACAAATGAACAAACAGACCCTGCCTTCCTTCTATTTTTGAAACACTATCCATCCATCATCTTTACCTGCTTCTTTCTTTTTGGGTCACAGGGGTCACTGGTTCCCATATTCAGCAGTCACTGTGCGAGAGGCAGGGGACACCCTGGACAGGTTGCAAGTCCATCACAGGGACACATAGAGACAAACGACACAAACAACCATTCACTTTCTCACTCACACCTAGGGATAATTTAGAGTTAATAATCAGTATAACATACATGTTTTGAGTCTGTGGGAGGAAACCGGAGTACCTGGAGAAAACCCACACATGCACAGAGAGAACATGCAACTCCACACAGAAAGGTCCCCAGCCAGGATTCAATCCAATGACCTTCTCGCTAAGAGGAAACAGCTCTACCAACTGAACCACCGTGCCACCTCTCAAAAAAATATCAGATAGAATTTGCAATACTAAACAGAAGCAATTGCATGAAATAGTTAAACATTAAAAAAAAAAGATCATGAGGCTGGGAAGGGTCTCATGGGATTTTTTTAGGATAACAAAAGCAGTAAAACTGCATATATTTTCAAATATGGACCAGTGACATAGCAAACACATTGTTAACACGTGTTCTTTCTTTGTACTAAGACTGTGTGTGGCCTTTGTCCTAAAATAAGAGGTAGTAAATAACACTTTTGAGATTATCTGAGTATTTATTCTGGCTGATGTTGCAATACTTTTAGATTTTTTTTGTTTCAAGGGATATTTCAGTCATTTTGAAGTGAGGATCTGTTGGAAAAAGTGATGCACAATAATTATCTTACCTGTTGTAGATAGCTTTTTTAATGGTCTCAGATTTTTGTCATCATAAAGCAAGTTCAGCCTAAAAAAATTCATAACGATTCAAGCAAGCACTCTTATAAACTTTTAAATCACAGTTAATTTCACTTTATATGGTTATTTAGGCAGAGACGATGTTAAAGTTCTGCTAATATAAATCCCAGGGTGAGCCAAAATTGTGGCTGCAGCAGCTGTTTGTGCTTACAAATCACCACACAATTCCTTTTAAATATGTTTGTTGACAAACCTTTTTGTTAATTAAAGGTTTGAGTTAGCATCTGCATGAACGGCTAGGAAATTTCTGAGACTGGAGCTGTTTTAAGATGGTAGGAGTTCATGTCTACTCATCATTCAGGTCAAAATTTACCTGAATTTTTTGAAACTGAGAACATTAAAAAAGCCTCATTATCTACAAGAACTAAGATAATAAAAGTTTAGAACTTCTCTGTGGAACCTCACTTTAAAATGGTCAGAATATTCCTTAAAGTCTAAACCTATTTAAATAAAGAAGACATTTATTTTAATTTAATGTGTCTTTATTAATTAAAGCTCTGAGTTAGAGGATGCTAATCAATGTCATTGCCTATTATAATGCTTTATTAAGCACAATTAAAACCATGCAATTTGAACCAAACTTTTCCCCCCAAAAAATGTACCTATTTAAATTTTCTATCCTAATGTTCATTTCAACAAGCCTAACATTCAGCTTCTATATGTAAAATATATGATATGATGCTTATTTTTTTTACATCATAATGACTCAAATTTGTGGCCTCAGGATGGTGGATGTAGGTGGCCAGCGCTCTGAGAGGAGGAAGTGGATCCACTGTTTCGAGAAAGTCACGTCCATCATGTTCTTGGTGGCACTCAGCGAGTACGATCAGGTCCTTGCTGAGTCCAGCAGCGAGGTGAGGAGCAGGCCGCTGCCAACAAAACAATCATTTCTTTTATACAATATCTTTTTATTTCTGTGCATGGGATGAAAAAGAGGCTCACTTTGGGATGATAAAAAAAAAAAATCCCAGTGAGGGACACAAAAGGGAGATTGTTTCTTTTGTTCAAAGCCAAACGCGTTAGGTGGAAATGATGACCCAGATTTCTTCAGAGGCCAGCACCAGCCTGATGTCTCTCTCTCTGTATTTCACTCCAATAACACCAAAAGCCTCGTTTTATCTTTAATCATGGCACTGTATATGGTTCACCTGCAGGGGGAGCTCTTAAGTCACTCTGCTTAGCAAAAGACACCTCTCAGAAAGGCTTGGACCTCTGAAGATATGACAGCCAGTTGAAATTCCTCACACAGTGACTGCCAAATTACTGCTTTCAATGTCTGTTTAAGTAATTCTGCTCTTGTTCTTGTGTTTATCTAAAGAATCGAATGGAGGAAAGCATGGCTTTGTTCAAGACGATCATAACCTACAAATGGTTTGACAAGTCCTCAATCATCTTGTTTCTCAACAAGATAGATCTGCTGGAGGAAAAAATCATGTACTCACATTTGGTGGACTATTTTCCTGAGTATGATGGTAAGGGAACACACACACACATATACACACCTACTTCTTTGATAAAGTCAAGGCCTAATCATCTTGTCTGTGATCATGATTGACGACAGCTGGTAGTTTTTCTTTGCCACTATAAAAAGGTTTTATTTGATGACACTCATTGAAGTCACCAATAAAGCAGTCCCTCACTTATTGCGGGGGTTACGTTCCAGACACCCCCGCGATAGGTGAAAATCCACTAGGTAGGGACATTTTATTTATTTTAGTATTTATATATATTTCAAGGCTTTATAAACCCTTCCCACACACTTGAAATGTTCTTAACAATGTTCAAAACTCTCTTAAGCTCTCTAAAAGCGCACAGCGAAAGACAGCAGACAGACTGATGCTACAGTTACTGAGCCAATCAGTGCCTGGGGGCAGACTGGCCATTGGGAGCACTGGGACATTTCTCGGTGGCCTGGCCTGCTCAGTGATTGCCAAGAGGGACTAAAGGCTTGGTTTGGGTCGCGCTTGATTATTTTAAATAAATTATCCATGCCATTCACGCTGGTATCCACCTCACTGAAGCTCCCACAGCAGTGATGGGAAAAGACAGACCCCCCCCCCCCTTTCTCTATCTGATAACCTCAGAAAGAGAAAGGAGGGGGCCCCTTGGTGATCAATGAGCGGGCCAGGCCACCGGGAAATGTCTCAGTGCTCCTGATGGTCAGTCCGCCCCTCAGCACAATGCTCCGCTTGGTAGCCTTCTATCAATCAGCCAGTTGTGTGCCGTGTACAATCTTACATTGAAAACCCACGAAAGAGTGAGTCCGCAAAAGTAGAACCGCAAAGTATCTAGGGACTCCTGTACTCAGAAACTTGGTAGAGTCCAAGAAACTCAGTGTGAGGGAGGAGAAATTGTAGATTTACACAAGTAAAGAGAGTATTTTGGAGTCATTTCAGAACAAATTCATATTTCAAGATCATCCATTCAAACAAGTGTCAGGAAGTACAAATTATTCTGATGTGTCACAAATTTGCTAAAGTCTTAAAGAAGACCCAAACTACACCCCAGATGAAGAAATCAATCCCATGAACCATCCAGGATCAACCTTTCCATGCTGGAACATTAATGTCACTGTCCCAAATAAAACAAGTTTTCCATCACCGTGGTGCGCTCACCAAGAAAGAAAAGAACTTTCAAGTTCAACAGAAAGTTTGCCGCTGCCCATATGAACAAGCCAAAATGGCTTCTGGAGAAAAGCTAAAGATTGAGCTATTTGGCCACACTAACAAGATCTGGAGGAGTCAGAGTGAGGCTTTCAAAAATACGAACACTGTACCAACGGTCAAGCATGGTGGTGGTAGCATCATGCTGTGGTACTTGTGCATTGTATTAGGTGGATGAAATAAGGAACATGGAGGACGGTTTTGAATTTTATTTTAGCTTTTACACCAATTCAAAGGAACTGTACCATTTCTGCCAAGAAGAGTGGTCGTGTATCTAGTCACAATTATGCCAGAAGATTGTTGATGGCTACAAAATACGTGTGGTCAAAATGCAACATGATAAGGAACATTTAACCAAATATTAACAGGGATATATGTGCCTGTATGTATAATTTTGAAGCTGTGTGAATTAGAAAAAATTCCGCAATAGATTCAAACTTGTGCACCCAACTCTTGATTCTTGTTTAATGTGTATGGGTAATCATTCTACACAGAAAAAAACAAAAACTATTCAAATTTTTTTAAATCCCCAAATTAAAATGACGTTCATGCCTAAGATGAAAGTATGTAAACCTCTGTATACAACAGGAAATTACCTTGCTTTTGATTGTATGGCTTAAAATGTTCTAGTTTGTAGTTAAACAGATTTATTTGAACCCGCACAAGATTTGAGCCTCTCGTTCTGCAAAAAGGGTCATATCATCATAATTAAATACCATGTTGAGGCTTTTAAACTGAGTTCATATGATTAGAGTTTGGTGTTTTATCATCTGCTTTCTTCTCCCAGGTCCGCAGCGGGACGTCCAAGCAGGAAAAAAATTCATCTTGGACATGTTTGAAAGCCTCAATCCTAACGAGGACAAAATCATCTACTCCCACTTCACGTGTGCCACAAACACAGACAACATTCGATTCGTCTTCTGTGCGGTCAAGCACCACATCTTGCAGTGCAACCTGGAAGACCAGAACTTGGTTTAGATGCTGGCGGTTGCTACGTAATCTAATCGTCTCGGTGCAGCTGGCAGTCAGGAGCGCTCTGCAGTGACTGTTAGATGCTGCTCGGCAATATAATCCAAAACAGGAAATTGAGAAGCTTCAGAGCTTGTCATCAAATGACTGTACTACTGATGCATTTCAAATTTTCTTGTTAGACTCTGTAAATGGATGTCTCCAGCTATTATGAAGTGTGACCTGCCAATTAAAGTGCTGCCTTTTGGAGGAGTCTAATATAGCACGCACTCTGAAATTTATGGAGCGCTTCGTGGGCGTTTTTTTTTTGAGCAGTGTAAATGTACACTGGTGGATTAATAGGAGGAAAAGTATTGGAAGTGGTGGCCACAAATGCCTTTGAGGTACTGAGATGCACTAGATGTCTTTCTCTGGTTGGAACACTGGAACTGAATGCAGACTGTATGGATGGACTGCAACACTTCACATCACTTACCCAACTTGTCAGTTGTTTTCATTTTCTTTTATGCTCTAAACTGGTTTGAAATTATTAGTTTTTTTTGTATCTAAACTGAAAGAGATCTAGTCATATTTAACACTAATGACATGTTTATCAAATATAAACATAACACAAAAAGAAACAAGTTATTTAGTTATGTATTTCTTTGTTGTTACAATGCTTCTTGGAAATAAATCTTGTGCTGTGGGAGAGTCTGTTTATTTCCCTTTAATGGCGCCACAATTGTTAGGAAAATGCATGTGTGGATTGAGCAGCAGAGTTCAGTATGTGGGTTGTGCCCTTAAAAACGTGTCAGTTCTTATTTGCCAATGCTAAATAGCTTATTTTAATACTATTCCTTGTTTTGAGTTTCCAATACCCAAAGTACTGAAAATTAGATGCTTGATTGGCACCCGATTGTCAGCATTGTGATCATGGACCCTGCTACAGTGACCATTTCAAGCATTTGCCTTTTGACTGATCTGGATATGGCTGTTGGGATAGGCTGATGTTTGGCAAAACCATATTTCCGCAGTCCGTGACAAAACTTTATTCTCCACAATGACAATGCATGCCCTTACAGAGCAGTTTGTCAAAAACTACCTTCAGAATTTGATATTGGAAAGGATGGAATAACCACGTACGGTCCTGATTTCAACCCCATTGAAGGATGTTACCCTGTTGGGTAATCTTAGGTATGCTGTTTCTTTCAGAGAAACCAACACAGGCTAATCTATAATAAATACTAGTTGAGAATAGGATGCCATCTCAAATAGTGTGTAACCAAGCTAGTGAGCAACATGAGGTGGAGGTGCCAAGTGGCTGTATGTGGTTCTTCCACATGTTACTGAGGTCTGTTAAAATAATAAATTGCTAATTTGCAATATGCCTCGTTGCTTAAGACTTCAACCATCTGATCCAATAACACTAAAAAAGAATTAATACCAGACTAACTGGCATGGGCAGAAAAGATATGGCAACTTTTCTAACCCGCAAATATAACACTGCTGCGCAACCCACAAACGCAATTTCCTAGCACCAACAACTGGGAAACCAAACAGTTTTTGTACAGTATAAGATTTGTTTTCATCAGGCAAAATGAGTCACAATGTGACTTTTTTTTTTACCATTTAGTTATTTGTACTTTCAAACTTTTCATCTTAAAAGCATCAAAATGTTACATTGTGTGTTGAAATGTGGTGTTCTGATACATGGCCTAGCTGCAAAGTAATTTTGTTTTTTTGGAGACTGACAGTGTGAAAACTCAGTTTTTATTGGTCTGGTGTGATGTCATCTGGAATTCCAGCCCTATATTTAAAAATGGGAAAGTCAAATCTTCACAATAAGGTGAAATATTATACGAAAGGGTTTCCCAGTGCTACGGCAGCTGGCAGAGAAAACAATCAATTTTAAAATCCATTATAAAAATTACATGATATTTTTGGCTTTTTTCACATTATCAGCTTGACTCTCTGCCCTTATTCAACTTGATCTAGCCGTACACAGTCTCAGTAATTTTTTTATATGAGTTTTGCCGTTTTCCTTCTGTTTTCTCTGGTCGAAGCCTATTGATCAAGTCCATTTGGTCTAGCACTCTCTGAATTATGTCATCAGCCAAACAGCATGGAAATGTCCAACTTCTTCATAGTACCACATTGTTGCCATTTCTGTAGATGTATTATATATTTCTAACAGTAAATAATGAGGAACACTGCGGTTGCAGGATTTTAAAATGGTGGGTTTGAGTCTGTTCCTGTAATGGACTTGCAGCCTGTCCAGGGTGTACCCACCTCTCGCACAGTGATGGCTGGACATGGGCACCAGTAACCCTCGTGACTCAAAAAGGAAGAAGCGAGTAAAGATGATGGATGGTCTTGATTCTTGTGAAGAAGGCGTTCTCATGATTGACATTTCTCTCTGACATTATGTCCTGCAGTCTGCTTACGTCAAATCTCCAACTCCACTCAGCTAGCTTGGAACTTCGGCAAATCTATCCAGATTACCTGATTTAACATTTTTGTGAGTAGGTCTTAAGAACAGGCCTGCAAGTGGGTGGGACCACCCGATGTAAATACTGAACCTATGCTAGGCCGACCCAGGTAGGGATGAGGCGAAACACAATGACAAAGGGGCATTAGTTACCAGAATTACTAGATGTACTAGATGGTGTGTTCATGGACTGATTTTTATGCAAATCTTTATTAAAGCAAAAAACAATAGTTGTACTTGTTTTACACTGCAGACCGTGCAGTGAGTGCAGTGACTCAGTTTGCCAGCACGGGCCAACATTTTTCTTTACTTGTTAAGCTAGATTTACGATATTGCACATGATACTTTTTGTATTTCTACATGCGCTTCATATATAAGGTTTCTGATCACTGCGGTCACTGTTTGCATTCATCTGTGTGTGGTGGACTAATAACACCACGTGTGTGCATTGTTGATATAGGGTCTGTGCATTCGTTTGAAGGGACGTTCATATCTTGATCTTCAAGTTTTGTGTCAATTCAGGGAGTCTGTTTTGATTTTTAACTAAGTCTCAAGCTTAAAATACATTTTCAATCTTTAAAACTTGCTCTATTCATCTGAGTGAATATTTTATATATTACATAGTCAAGTGAATGCTTCCTGTTGTGAATTTTTGATATTTTTCTTTGCATTCAGGTCAAAGTGAACTGCTAAATAAATTGTGAACTGTAAAGTATTTTCAAAGGGATTAAACTAGTGCACTCTCAATCCTAATTGGCGCTCATTAATGGTATCACATGCTCTATTAGAAGCTAATGTGAGCAAAGCCACAGCACTAATGTTTACACATCCCTTTTCTTCTTCAGATTAATTACATTCTAATTTGCACTATTTATTTTGTGTTTAAAATTTCATGTCGTTGCAGTATCAGTGTTTTGTATAAATGTGATTGGTTAAATAAAGCATTTGCTCCATGCATTCTCTGTTGTTTTGTGTTTACAAATCAGCTCCAGCACATTGCTGGTTTGTCTTTCGGGCGTTTGTCTTCTTGGCTTCCTCATCAGCTCATCTGGAGTCGTGTTCCTCCTGAAATCCTCCACTGTGGTGCATCCATCTGGCTGGAGCCCTCAGCAATGGGGCCATATTTTTAGTCTTGTACACAGAGATATAGTGGGGCAAAGAGCCTTTTTTTTTTTTTGGAAGACAGAAACAAAAAGTAATGTAGCAGTTACACGTGTTACTTGAAATAATAGTTGAATTGGCATCCTGAATGAAAGGATAACTTTTTAACCTAAACATAGCATCATTTATTTACAATCATAAACTATATAAATATATTCAGATGTATAAAATATAAGCATCATGAAAGATGGACAATCATGTTATTGCCCGTGTGTGTGTGTGTTTGTAGGACAACCTGTTAGCAAAATATCAAACTAATGATTGGATATTAATAAAGCTCACAGATCGTAACCACTGAATGTACATCTACAACTGATGAACTTTTGGAGTCAACCCAATGCAAGGTGACTAGTACTGTATGTCCAAACTTTACTTCCACACAAAGCTGTTGGATATACATTTGTCTTGTACACAGCAATCTTTCTGCTGAGACGTACCCTTTATCCTGATTAAATGTGTGTTCCAGTCTGCCAAAGGCAGGGGCTGAATTTGTCAGTTCTCTGTGTGATCTCAACCTCAATTTGTTTTAAAACAGAAACCCACAAGATAGCAGATTTTTCAATAGCTTTTTATGTCCCTTGTCGCAGAGCGGAGTGGGAATTGGAAATATCCTCCATCTCTCCATACGGCATGTTTTGAGCATACAGTGTATATATATATATATATATAT